GCCACACAGTCAGATGCAGTGGGGTTCTGATGACCATCCATGAGGCACATTGAACTCACCCTGCGCCCCTCTGAAGAAGCAGAAAGCTCATTTATTCTACGTCCTCTCTGACGTGCTGCTGAAGGATGCTGCACAGCTGAGCTTCAGAGGGGTGCGTGTCCACATCTTTACTCCATACAGCTCCTCAGCCAGCTTCCATTCACTGTGCTGTGCTTAAGCCCCGCTTCAGGAAGGGCTCTGACTGCTGCCTCAAGTTAGTTTTCTCCTTGTCGGTCACCCAGCTCAACACTGGGTTTGTGTATTAAAATGAAATCTAATTTCTGAGCCAATTCCCCGATGCAGTCTGGCTCCCACATCTGCAGAGCAAGGAACAAACAAACAGACCCTAACCCTAACCCACTTCCCCCTTGGACCTGAATTCCAGTTACAAACAGCAGGAGTGATGCTCTACACAGAGCCCCGTTCGCTTCAGGACCCCGCTGCAGTGGCATGCAGAGCCCAGGCATCTCAAAGTGTGCCAAGCTAGCACGGGCCTGCAGGAGTGCTTCTTGCATGGGCTGCAAAAGGAATCGCAGGGATTTGGCCTCAGCTTCCCACTGATGTAGCAGGTTTCCTGTTAGTTCTCACAAGCTACCAGGTTTCCCAAGCAGAGCCCAGATAGCGAGACATGCAAAACGCAGGTTTGAGACCTGAGAACTTGCAGCATCCAACTCTGCAGCATCCAACACAAAACCAAACAACAAGAATATACCATACAACACCCCCTTTGCTAGTTACTCTCTCTACACTCAAATGTGACAGCATCAAATCCAGCATTGCTTTCAGTCTGCCTGATTAGAGCACAGTCACAGGGCACCGGCTGAAGCTCGCATCTGAACCGGATCCCATCCGCACCCTCTTCCTTCCGCAGCATGGAAATCCTGCAGGAAATGCCCGAAAGGAAACCAAACCGGCTGCCAACACCCAGGCCAGGCCAGGCTGCAGCAGCTGCAAGCACAGTCCTCACTCGGACACATCCAGCCAAAGCAGCTTTAAATAACAAACACTGTTTTCATGGGGAAACACCCTCTGAATCCCACAGGATTTTTCCACTTCAGTTTAAAAGGCTCCCGTGGTTCAGCACAGCCTGAACACGCCTGGACTGTCCCCGGGCAGCCCTAGCCAAGGCAGGGAGCAGCCCTGGAGCTGTGGAGCACATCAGGCTTCCCATGCTCCTAGTCATGGGGGAAGCAATGGGGGAAGCATCCCCTCCTCAGCTCCGGGCTCTTACAGCAGCCACTGATGTGACACTGGGGGATGCTTGGGACAGCCACAGCCCTTACAAGCACCCCACACAGAACAGGGGACATTGTGGGGAGGAATGCAGAGACAGGGACATGAGAGGGACAACAGCTTAAGCCTGACTGTGAGGAGGACTCCAAAGGCAAGAGAAGAGCAGCGCAAAGGGGCAGCAGAGGGATGTCCTGATGTCCCCGGCCCTTCCGGCACTGTTGGCACATCAGGGCTGTTTGCTCGGGGAGGAAGCCAAGGCCAGGCGGTGACGTGGGAACAAGCTGCGGGAAGGCAGCCCAGCTCCACGGCGCTGAAAGGGGGCACGCAGAGAGGACAAGGAGGTCTGAGGTCACACATAGGCAGGTCCCCAGCAGGGCTGCCAGGTCTGGGGCACCCCGGCCCCCTGGGGCAGGTCACCAGCAATAGGGCAGAGCATGCAACCCGGATCGTTAACTTCACAGGCCAGGGACAGGCAGGCACTCTGAGCCCCAGCCCCGCGGTGGTCCCAATGGGCAGCACCCGCTCCTCTGCCCACTGCGCAGTGCATGTGGGGGGACAGAGCGGGGGCAGCCAGAGGAGGCGATGACAGGGCCCGGCCCGGCGATGCCAGCAAGCACAATAGGCTATTTCCTGAGAAAGGCCAGCGTGTCCAGGGGCACAAAGGACGCTATTCTGCAGCCGGCTGGGCTTGGGCTTGGGCGAGAAACAAGGGGAGGGCAGATACCGAAGCCACCAAGCACTGCACACCCCAGGGGTGCCACTGCAGCCATGTGCCTGCAGTTCTGCCCCACATCTCCACCCAGAATGAGGCAAGCTGCCGGCTCGGGGCTCAGCACCATACCCTGCTCCATGCCCAGCGAACGGGAGGCTGGTGCCAGGCAGAAGAGCCAGCATAAGGTTCTGCGTGTAAGAAAACAGGAAGGCAGCCCCAGACCTGCGATGAGCCGCTCCCGGCGCCACAGCCCTCGCCTCGCACAAGGCTGCTTTCAGCAGCGCACACATGCCCCATTCTTCCCGTCTGTGACCTCCCTGCCCTGGCATCTGGGTGCCTCGGGCTCAGCACCGCGAAGTGACTGGGAAAGATGGAGGAGGGAGGCTGGGCACCAGCTCCCCCACCGCGTCCTCCCAGTGCAGGGAGGGATGGAGCTGCTCATGGGCAAGAGCTGACGGTGAAGCCAGGCGCTTGTTCAGCCACAACATGTGCCCCTTTTCCAGAGGGCAACATTAAAAATAAGCAAAAGTAGCAGCCCAGGTTGAAGCCCTGGCGAGGACACCAGGCCCTGAGACCAGACCCTGACCCCACACCTTCCCAGGGCTGTTTGTTCCTCCAGAGGAGGATGCTCAGGGGAAGCACCCTCTGCAGCCACAAACCCTCCTGAACTAACATCCTGACAGCTCTCCCAGAGAAGGCAGCAGCTGCCTCAGGGAGGTTTCAAGCCAGTGAAGGTGGGTACAATATGGGAAGCAGCAACTCCCTCCAGAGGTACAGTCACACGGTTACGAGCTCTGTGCAAAGAGCCAGCCGTGCAGCTGGCAGAGAAAGACCTGGTTTCAGTGGCTCTGATGGGACAGCCGAGAGCCACAGTCCCCCAGTACCAGCCTCTGAGACATGACAACTCCCAAAGCCACAAGCTTACCTGAAATAAGAGCTCAAACCCTCACCCTCCCCCTCAGAGGGTCCAGTGGCCCCAGCTACCAGCTGCAGAAACCTGTTCAGAGCCACGGTCCAGGGGATTCAGGGCGAAACCCCGCGTGTAGGTCTGGAAACATCAGCTGGAGGAGATGATCAAGAGACAAGACAACCCTGATTCTAAAAATAAGTTGTTTATCGATCTCGTGTGGTCTCTAGGATGATCCCACCCTGCTTACAAACACACACATACGTATATATATATACACACAAACACACACATACACACATATATATTCAGTGACATACAACTCATTAGCACATCACCCCCCAAGCTGTGCTGGTGCCAACGAGGCTACTGGAGCACAAGCACTCGGCAAGGGAAGGGAATCCATCACCCACTGCAGCTCCGTGCCTGCCTCTCAAGCCCCGGTACAGAAGGGGCAGCTCTCAGCACCTGGCTGCACCTCACACCGCTGGCACCCAGCTCTGGCACCCACTGCTGCAGAAGGCTCCGGAGGGCACAGACCCGTCTCTAACCGCCTGCGAGCTGCCGGCACACCCAGGCTCTGTAGCAATAACACCACCTGCGTGAGCCGATGCAACCGCTTCTGTGCCCTCCTCATTTTTCTATCCCATTCACTGTCTTTTCCCAGGAGCATCCTCTGGGAATACCCAACCCTTGGGCATGAGAGCATTCCAACATCACTGTCTGGGGCAGGCAGGCTGCCACAACCAGCCTCCCCTGCTTCTGTTTTACCCCCCCTTCGTGAGGGGCAGGAGCCAAGCAAGGAGTTTCGAGCATGCTCCTGGCAGACGGAACACAGCAGCAATGGCCACAGCGCAGAGCTCAGGGCACCCACGGAAGGCAAAGGGCTCCGCCAGCACAGACCCAGCGCTACCACACACCGCGGCCTCGCCGGAGCAGGGGTGAGGAAGGAAGGGCACCACTGGTCTTATAATAAGGGTCAAGCAGCAACTCGGGCCCCACTCGACCCCACGCTCACAGGTGCTGGCACCGCCTGCCCTTGCCGGATGCTGCCCAGCAGTGACCCCGCCGCTGGACCTATGGCCGGGAGCCCCGGCGGGCACCGGCTGCCGGCCTCGGGCTGGCCGCAGAGCTCCTCCAGCCCAGCCGGGCTCCTTGAAGCCGCCTTCCAACAACAAAGGCTCAGCCGAGGTTCCAGGGCTCGCCGGGAGCGCGCGGAAGCCTGGGCGGCAGCCAGGCAGGGCAGGCAGAGCCGGAGCCATCAACACCCCGGCGTGTCCAGACTTGAGGAAATTACGGAGCAACAAGAGCCATTTGCCCTCCCCAGAAACTCGCGAACCCGCTCAGCAGCGCGGCCCTGGGCCGCAGCACAGCCCTCGGCAGAGCCCCGAAACCCGCGGCTGGGGTGGGTTTGGAGCCGAGACATCGACCCCAGCGCGGGCGGAGGGAGGGCGGCTCCCGAGGGTCGCTCGGGAGCGTTTTCCGACAGCTCGACACAGCCAAAAACCACGCTCGGGTGCAAGCGCGGGGATCACAGCGCCGGGAGCTGCAAACCACCGGAGCCGCCTCCCGGGGCCGGGCGCATCTCGCCCGTTCCCAGCGCTCGCCCTGCGAGAAGCCCCGTTACCCCGGAACTTCCACTGAACCGAACTTTGTCACCGGGGGGAGGTGGGGTGTGTGATCCCCTCCCCGATCCCTGCCCGCAGCACCGGAAACCGAAACGCGCAGGGAGCTAAGCCGCGGCCCGCTCCACCGGGGCCGGGTCGTTAAACCGGTTGGCGGGACCGGCGTTTCTCCCTCCCACAGGCAGCCGGGGACGAGCCGCGCTTCCAGCGGACGAAGGCCCGGGAGGGGAGCCCGGGGCTCCTCGCTGCTGCCGCCACCGGGGGAGGGCGGGGGGAAGGGGCTGCCCTCCTCCCGGTCTCCCCGCGGGGCGCGTTCACGACCGCACTGGGCCGTTGGTCGCGCCGAGCGGGGGTGGCGGAAGCCGCCGCTGGGCACCGGCTCCCGGGAAGGGCAGGAGCCGCCCCCCCGCCCGCCACTTGCGGGAAGGGCCCCACACTCCGGCTCCCCCCCACTCCCGCCGCGCTGCCCGGGGCCGGTACCTACCAGCGGGCTGCGGCAGCGTCCCCGCCGCTGCCCGGGCATCTTGGAGGCGCGGAGGAGACGGCGGCGGCAGCGGCAGTGGAGCGGGGGGGGGGGGGCGGGGGCGGTGCCAGACGCGTTCGGCCCCGCCCACCCTGCCCCGCCCCGCCCCTCCAGGGGCCCCGCCCCGCCCCGCCGCAGGTGAGGCCCCGCGCTCCCTGCCCGCCCCTTCTCTCCCGCTATGGCGGACCGGGGGCACCGGGGCCGAGCCGTAGCCGCCTGCCGGCACCGGGACCGCGGGGCCGCCGGTGCCACAGGGAGCGATTCGTGTGTGCGGGCACGAGGGGGGACGGGACCCCTCGCACGGCAGGGGGTCCCCAGCGCATCAGCGGGTCCGCAGGGTGGCGGCGGGTCCCCAGCGCACCGGTTTTCACTGGGGCAGACTGCACTGACCAGTTGGTCACCGGAGATTTTCCCTCTCGCAGAGGCCATCCTGGTGCCCTCTGCGCTCTGGAAGGACCGTGAGGTGACCCACATCGTTTGTGGGGTGCCCGTGTGCATATGGATGTACCCACTGCAGTTACATCAGAGGGAGCTGAGTGCAGTTTATCCCTCATTAACATGGGTATGTGCTGCACAGATTATTTATATTTGAAGACAGCCCAGGGGGTTCACTGAGCCATCTCTTTAAAATCACCACCAGGAAAAAGCCTCCCGGGCTCCTCAAGGTGAGATGGGAAGAGAATTTCTAGGTGCTGGAGGAGGGTTCGGTGGGCAGGGATTTGCAGCTATCCTGTGCTGTGATAGCATCATCAGTCCACACACACGTGTTGCGCTCGCACAGCCAGACACAGCACATGGTAGCTGTCCCACTGTGACTTCTCAGGGGAGGAAGACAGCAGTACCCCAGCAAGCTGTGGAGGTCAACACCACACCACACAGCCAGCCTTGTTCCCACCTGACTCGCTGCAAAGGAATCACAAACCCTTTTCCCTAGAAGGACCTGACAGTGGGTATTTAATATGCGCCACTTATTCTGCATTAAATCCTATCTCTGCTTTTCTGGCAGCAAGAATGGAGCCTGCACAGCTGCGGCCAAGTCACAGTTTATGGCTGTCCTGGGACCGGTCCTTGTCATCGGCATCTGTGCAGACTGATGGAAAGAGAATGGCCCAATTAGGGCCTGATACAGCCCCATCCTCCTTCGCTCAGGCAGCAGAAAACTGAAGCTGCTTTTCCGAGCCTAGTGCTGCCTGCAGATCACAGCAGGCAGCCGGCAGCAGCTCGAGGCTGCTCAGCACCGGCGCTGGTGGCTGGGTGAAGCAGCGAGAGCCATGGCACAGATGTGCAGCCCTGAGACATGGCACATCAGGCTGCAGCAGGAACGAGGCCACCAACAGCTGGCAGATGCTGGAGATCACAGCAGAGCTCCGTTACCGGAGGCTCCGTGGCAGCAGCCAGGGAGCAGCTACTGCAAGGGATGCAGGTACCACAGCTACTGTAACAGACCCAAGCTCAGAGGCCTCCAGGCTTCCCTCTGGTACACCAAGGAGAAATAAGCCCCAACAAGCATGACTATGCAGAGGTGGCAGCTGCTCAGCACCACGATGTCACCCCTGCTCTGGTGACACACAGAGGGAGAAGTTGCCGGCAGGTCTGGGGAGCACAGGGGGCTGGACCAGCTGCAGGTACAACACGGTGCAGATCAGCCTCAGCACCTTCCTCTGCCCTCCAGGAGTCAGCTACAACTGAGAGCATCAAGGGGAGCGCACGATTGTGTCTCCATCCCTAGAACAGAGCTGGTGCTGGGCCCATGGAGGCTGGGATCCACGAAATCACAGCTCAGTGCCAGAGCATGTATATATATATATATTTGAAGTGCCCAAACAGCTTTCCCAGGAGATCAGCAGCAGACAACAGCCCCTCCCACAGCCTGATGAGTGATGAGATTATTGAGCCTCTTGTGTTAAAAGCTGGAGGTGTCAGAGGTGACCTTGGGCAAATATTTACAATTACAGTGGCACTGGGTACTGCGTGTTCAAAACACGGAGGGATCAGGTTCCGGTGGTGTTTAATTGAGCAGGCAGGGCAGCAGGAGGGAGAGCTCTGCGCTAATGTATGTGCTCACGGCTCCAGAGTGAGTCAGGTTCTCAAGGGTGGGGAGAACAGCTCCATCTGCCCACCAGCTCCTGTTGGAGTGGCAAGTGCTCAGCAGCCCTTCCAGGGGGACCTGTGTGTTCCCAACAGGGGCTGCCTGGGTGTTGTAACACGCAGCTGCGGGACGCGGGTGCTCCTGCTGCCCAAGGCTGCTATGCATCAGCATTCGCACTTCAGGGACGAGGAATGGGGACACGCGAGTTGTTCCGCGTGCCTGGGATGCCTGGTGAATAAATAACACAGGGTTATGAAGCAGGATTCCCCCTCTAAAATGTGCTCTTACAGTGGAAAGCAAAGAGGGGGAATAAAACCCTTTTAACTTGTGAATCCCCCTCCCCAGTGCTTCCACAGAGCGGATGGGCAGCTGTGGAGATGGATGAGTGGGGATGGATGAATTCCCCATGAAGAATCTCTTTTCATTTTACATTTGATGACTTCATTCTCCCAGCTTTCATTAGCACATCCTTTATCTCCAGTTCTTCCCCAAAGGCGCTCGGTTCCTCCTTGCTGCTGCACAGGGAGCCGTGCTCTCACGATGGGAAGTGGATGCTTTGCACCACCTCATGTTGAGGCTGGGAATTTCAGAGCCTCATCCAAGCTCCAGCTCTCTTTCATGACGAGCAAACCACGGGCCTCACCTGCCGCAGAACAAGCTCTTCTGGCTTCACATCCACTTGCCAACACCCCTCCATGGCACAGCGATGGGTGGTGGTGGTGCCACGCACGGCGGCCAGGCACCAGTGCTTGATGCATCTGGCTGCACACAACCAGCCCTCAACACTTCCTCAGTCCAGCCCAGCTCTCTAAGGAGGGCCACAGGAGAGTATTTTGCACCCCCTTGGTTCTGAGCAATAGCATCTTCTGCCTCCCCTGGGTAAGGAGCTGGGGTTTGACAGTCAAGGGCAGCCACGTTTCAAGCCATCTCCTGCACATCCCAATGTCCTACAATGCATCCTGTATTTCAGGTGCTGGTTTGCCTTGCTCTTAGGCCAGAGTCCAGCCATCCCTGTTGGCGGCAGGCAAAGGGGGATTGCTCAAGGGGAGCCCAAGAGCTGGAGGAAGGATGCTGCCGAGGCAGGGGCTGGTTTAGTGAACGGGGCCACGCTCTGCAGGGACCTCTGCTGCTGTCTGGTGAAATGAAACAGTGCCCAGTGGCTACCGGCAGAGGAAAGCGGTGTGATGGGTTACGGACAGCTTGATGCCACCCTGGAAACCAGGGGTTTATCTCCACAACCGCTGCAGGGCTCCTAAAGCCTCACCTTGGAGGGCAAACACAGAACTGTGCCATAAAAACCCTGACCAAAGGGCACAGGGTCCCAGGAAAAACTGCTCTGAACAATGTAGTTATTGAGTACCTGGCACACATACGCATGAGGGGAGTTTGTGTAAGGTGGAAAACTTCATTGCCCATATACACACTGACCTCTGCAGCCCTGAGAACCTGCTTTTAACAGCAGCACTGAACAAATCCTGGTCTAACACTGGCCATGGGGAGCAGGCAGAGCGAGCTGGGGGCCAGTACAGCCTCTTGTCCTACAGACCAGCTGCAAGGACCCATAGCTGCAGCAGGTGTTCCATCTCTCCATCCTAAAGCACTTGCCATCCAAACACACAAGTGACTAGGCTAGTAACTAACTACAGCAGGAGCTGAGCAGTGAGCAGGCCAAGAAGGTCTTTACTGAGGCTTCCCTTTTCTCTGATGCACATCCCGAACTGCATCTGGGAACCTGCCCCCCAAACTCCAGCACAGGCAGGAAGGGGAGGAGAGGTACCTGCATTCCTGCGCTCTGTGCCCAGCACAGCCCAGGCCACTGTCAGTGGCTCCTGCAGCATGTTATGCTGTCTCCAAGGATGCTGCAGGGTAACCTTTATGCCTTGCAAAAGAGAAACTGGCTTCCAGCAGCCAGAACAGCCTCTCCCCAAACCCAAAGTCAACCCCTGGCATCACAGGACCTACCCTGACCCCACCACACTGTGGGAAGCATTCCCACGCTTCCCACCTCACTGTCATGTATTTGAAGCAGTCCTTGAACATGAACCTGCATCTTGCACTTCCTTGCAGCCTCATATACGGACAGGTATCACATACCCAGCTGCCAGCCTTTGCACCTAGCATTAGGCTAGCTTAGGAATTACATAAAGCAAATATGCAATGGGTAAGACCCAGCTTGGGCTTGTAACCAGAATAAAAGCAATGGCCTCATTCCAGAGCACTCAGAGTTTCCTCAGCATCCATCACCTGTGCTCCAAGGACCTCGAAACCCTCTTGCCCTTCCAGGAAAGCAAGGAGCTGCTCCCCCGCCCCTGCAGCACCCAGCAAGTGATCACTCCCTGCTCACATCTCAGCGCCTGGAAGGGAAGGAGAGAAAACGTGCGCTGAACCGAAGGGAGTTTAAGGAGAAACAATCACACAGAGCTGCTCCTGGAGTGCGAGGTAACTCCTTTGGGCAGGAGCAGGCACTGGGCAGGGGCTGGGGAGCAAACCCCCAGCAGGAAATGAGGCACCCTCCTGAACCGCACAGTTAGTGAGGATGAGGAGGGAGCAAGAGGCACCCCGAGGGCATACACCAGCTGAGGATGTGACACAGGCTCCTGCAGAAGGCAGCATGGAGCCAGAGCCACTGTGGGGATTGCCAGGGCTGACTTCCCATGGGCTCTTCCCAGGAGGTTGCAGCAGGGCCCTGCCAGACCCAGGTGTGGGGCTGAGCCCGTCTGGGGCGGGGGAAGCTGCGATGTTATCTGGGAGCTGGGAATGGGCAGGCATCCCGGGAACAACACAGCCTCTGTCTCAGTGTGGCTGAAACCCGGAGCGAAGCTGGACACGGGCTCAGGGTGGGTGGGAGGTTGGTCCTGCTCCAGCAGGGACACGGCCAACACCTCCTCAAGAGCGAAACTGGCATCGGGGCCCCTGCGGCAGGTTCGCTTTGGGCAGAAACCACAACTTGTAAATCAGAGCAAG